TGAATTTTAACTGAGATTTAATTGACAGTTTTTATAAATATTTTTTGGTTTTTATATAAAATACGGAGTGAAGATAAAGCTTTTATACTCGGTAACAGTTGAATTCATTTGTATGCTTAACTAAAATCACATATCAAATTGGTATTTAACACTGTAAACACATAAAAGTAATTTTCACAATACTTACTGGATTACTCTAGATGAAAATATTAAGGCAGTGTTGCATGATTGGTACATTTGTACACATTTGTACATTTTGGCAGTTACAGAGTAGTGTTGTTTGGAAATTCTTTTATTGAGCTGAACTCAAAATTCTAAAGAACACCACTCTGTGACAGCCAAAATGTATAAATCTGTACAAATGTACCAATCGTGTGACACTGCCTTTAGCCCAGTACCACATCCGACAGCTTCAATATAAAAAAGGAAAAGGAATGAAAATATTAGCCTGTTCCCGCACTCCATGATTTAGTGGGAAATTGTTAGCAAAATGTATGATAAATGTGTAAAGGAAACGACCTCGGACTAAATCCTGGAATACGGGAACAGGCTAGTTGTCTGTAGCTAACAGCGATGCCGTATGTAGACTAAAGTTGGTATGTTCAATGAAAGGAAACAAACTTAATGTGTGACCACAAAATCATACAAGTCTCAAGGCTGATTCACATACAACTTTCTTCGCTTTGCTTGATAGTTCTTTGCTTTGACATATAAGATCGATGTAGGCATATGCAGGAGTATGCTCACATAAAAAACGTTTGAAGCAAAGCAAAGCAAAACGAAGCAGAATCTTGGGCAACTCTCAACTTTTGCCCGCTTTGGCAATCAGCTGTCTACATGTATCTTTTCTCGTGCGCTTGCATTTGAATTTAATGACAAAAATAGGTGAAATAGGAATTTTTATTGCTATTATTAATGCATATTATTATATTGTTATCTATTTTACAGATAAAACATATGCAGGAAAAGGAGAACGCAAAAACTGTTAAAGCGTTTATTGTAGCATACCTTCTGCGTTTCACGCTTTGTTGTCAAGTTTGAACTGTCAAGCAAAGCGAGGAAAGTCTTATGTAAATGGCCCTTTAAGATGGGAAGAGTTACCCTCAACTTATGAATTGAAATGTACCACAATTTATACTCAGCTAAAAATAAAAGTATCTTAAAAATTCGATGAAAAATGTATCATTTTGATCCATTTCGATCAAAACGGCAACACTGATCCTAGGTGTTTAAAGAAGTTATCTCAACTATTTTTATCTTTTCCTTTCGTGAAACATATTTCAAAACTATGAATAATAACTAATACCCTTTCCGAATCTCAATTCCACGCAAAATTGCTTAATATCACCGGCACACAAAAAAAAAAATAGTGTGATGTGCATTCGACCGGACCTACCTATGGTTATGTATTTCGACCCGCAGAATACGAATTTAAAGTCAGTTTGGCCAATATACCTCCCAGATTTCGATAAAACTTCAAAAACCTGTAAAAATAGCGAAAATCGGCAATAAAAAATGGTTTTTTGAGGTTTTTCGAAATCTAGGCGGTATATTGGTCAAACTGACTTCAAAGTCGGATTCTGCGAGTCGAAATACATAACCATAGGTAGGTCCGGTCAAATGCACATCACACTATTTTTTTTTGGGTGCCGGTGTATTTTTCAATAGATTATATTGCTCACTATCGGCTTTAGCTCAATTCTGTGGCTGCTACAGATCGCCCTAACAAAGTCGTATGACTGAGCAATTATATGTATATAGATACGCTGAGAAGAAGTTAAGAAAACGTTTAAAGTTATATTTTGTCAGCTACTTCACCGATTTGAAATCTAGTAATTATACTTTTCATGAGCATGAAATGGTATTATAACTTTGGGCCGATGTTTGTAAGTCCGTCTGTTTGTATGCAATCTTGTCTATCAGTTTTCGATATATCCGACTGAAATTTGGTGAGTATAGTTTTATAATGCATTAGTCATTTGTCGGAGCCGGAAAAATCGGACCACTATAATATATCCCATACAACTGATTGCTCAGATGTGAGGCTTTTCGTTATATCCCCGGTTGCCACATGACAAAAAATTTTCTAACCAGAATTTACAAAAAAATTACCTAAAAGTTACAAAGTAAAAAATAACGTTTTATTATACAATAAACTGTAAAAACAAACCTCGTTTATTTGCCATAAATAAGGCCTGGGTACAATAAATAGTTTTATTAAAAGAAACCTAAACAAATTCATTTTTCTTATGAGGTCATGAGGGCCAGGAGCCTTTTTACAAAAAAAATTAGTAATGTGAGAAAGAAGGAGCTATAAAAATAAATGCGGTATTTTACTAAAAAATTCATTGCACCTACGCGATGCTACATATAATAGTAAAAGAAAACTATAAAGGCGTGCCTTGGCTATTACCGTTTCGCTTCTGGTAATGTATTTCAGTCTAGCTACTCTATCGCTCAAGGCCTCATATAATAACTAGATACATTTACATACGTACATAAATACATTTTTATTCAATCTCTGTATACGTACGTGTATAAAGAAGAATGTAACAAAAATTTGTGAAACAAAAAACAACACACATATACTTTTGCAACGCACGCGTTTAAAAATATACCTTTCATAAATACGCGCTTTAAGCTCTTGTCTTTTGAAAGGAATCTTAGCTTCAGAACAAAAAAGTTATTTGAAAAATCAACTTAAATGCATATACCGAGGCGCTAAAGAGCCCAAATACACCGCACAAAATGCTGTTCAAACCTCCTTTTTCATTTCCTCTACATATGGATCAAAGATCTGTCAATAAGTATTCGTCGATGTTTTTGCAAAACCGCCCATCGATAAGTTGCAGAACCACTTAAATCTCCGTTGTAGCAAAAATGAGATTTGGTAACCCTGAACTCCAGGCATCGAGATTTATGGATAAAAATCCTAAGATCGTTGTAAAAAACAACAGATTTGTAAAATAATAGTTAGGGAAAATACCACTCTCAAGGCCCTGCGGTCATTGAAAAACTGTTTTTTCGCTCTCCTGTAAAATTTGAGTGCCGTAAGATAGGCGTTTTGCAATTGGTCGATGGGCGGTTTTGCGAAAACATCGACGAATACTTATTGACAGATCTTTGATCCATATGTAGAGGAAATGAAAAAGGAGGTTTGAACAGCATTTTGTGCGGTGTATTTGGGCTCTTTAGCGCCTGGCATATTTCGTGATATTCGTTCTAGGCTCGACATTTCGCGTTGCATTTCGAACAAATTAGATGTGGTATCACTACGGTGACCATATTTATGCCAACCGAATACGAGACAAAAAAGTATTTTTGCCAATTTTTTCCACAAAAAATAGAGGATTAAAAAAACATTTTTAATGATTTTCGATTTCTTAGCCCTGAAACAGCATCTTTATTTGGAATATATTTTTTGATCTTTTTTCAAAAGCAGCACATAAATATGTTACTACTAAATATAATTGTAGAATACTATTCTATAACATTGTTTTTTGTACTCAGGATTTTTAGTCAGCAGAATTTGTTGCACACATTCCTAGGCAGAAAAACATGATAAAAAAATATCCAACTACTTTTGAAGCACGAGTCTTATTCAACGGATTATTTTCGACTCGGATTTCGGGATAGCACAATGCAGCAAACTTTAAGAACTTCCTTACTCTTACGATATTTTCCTGGTTGCCCTCTCATTTGGAGTTTCTTATGTTGAAGATACAATCCTTCTTATAATCAGCAATAATTTATTTGGCGCAGTTTCGCCTATTAAGTTTCTTCTCTCGTCACAAAATTTGAAAATTGGCTTAACACCAAGGCACATTGGACAGGTAAAAACAGCAGGCTGTGTGTATTTTGTTGTTGGCTTTGGAATTCATATACGTAAACAAAGTTTGATATAACAGAGTAAAATGTAAAATAAAATGACATTTAAGAGACGAAATTCTCGAAAAAAAGACAAATCAGCGGCTCTACTGCTGCCACCTGCTCAATACGCATTGCTCCCCACAGGATATTCAACGTGAAATGCGTTGAAAAGAGCAAAATACTAGTGAAATTTCTGTTAGAAATTTTAACGATATCACACGCCTACAAAAATAGAAAACAATTTATGTGCGGCAAATGTTAAAAATGTTTTTTGTAGACTTTTTCATGTTGATTACGAATCCGTAAGTAAAAAGTTCCCATCAGCTCCAGGTTCTGAGAAAAACGAGGTCAGATTGTAAAAAATCGCGTTTTTGCAATATTTGAGATATTTGAGCTCTAGCAAAAAAACAATATAGGCTTAGAATAAAGCTCAAAATCTCAGCTTCTATCAAAAACAGCTTAACCATTTTCCGTCCCGAAATCAGTGTAGCCCTAGGTAATTATTAATGTCTAATTTCGATTCATACTCACAAATACCCTGTTTTCCTACGCAAAATTATAACTTCAGAAACCATATAAAAATAAAAACTGGTTCAATGGCATGCCATTTTTATGAGTTTTTGAGGCGCCAAAAAACCGACACGGGACATTAAAAGAAAGACAGAACATTTGGCGTCCCGTATGAAATAAATAAATTATCAGGACAATTGACGTAAAAAGAGGACTGTCTCGTATAATACAGGACGGAAGGCCAAGGTAGGTATCACCATACATGTAATAAAAAGTATAGATACTTTTTAATAAAATAACATTAAGATAAGATTTGCAGGCTTCATCTATTGGACTTTAAGCCTCTCGACACAGAAACATAAATACTGACGCAATACATATTGAACATGTAGCATTCCCGCGCGATCCATCACTATTTTGAAATCCATCAATATGGATCACGATCCAAATATCCCAATTAATATTGAACGTGTGACAGGCGCCCCACACTGTGATAAATTAACGAGTGATAATTTTCTTCGATATGTGGTTAGTTACTTTTGCTGAGCCCCGTGTTGTCTGATCAACGCAATTGCTTCTAGTAGTGTTGTCACTGCTACACTCAATCACAGTTAAATTTATCACATTAAGGGCCGGTTTTTCAATAGTCAGATAAAATCTCAGATAGCTATCTAATGAATAAAATTATTCGGCTGTTTATTCTATTGAATAAAGTCTTGGAGTGTTTCAATCACCATTTATCTGGCAGATAGCTACTCCAGTGCATTTATAAAAAGGTGGCAACATGATTAGTTGTCAAAAAAATTAGAGTGAAAGCAAGTTAGCGTAATACCTTACGATAGAAAAGAACAACTATTACGTTGCTTAAATTGATAATTTATTATTTTCCAAGTTTCAATTGTTTAGCAAGCGCAAAATGGAAATTGTAGAAAATGCTGCCTTAAAAAAAAGGCAAAGGTCTGCCAATTTCACACAAATTGAAGTGGGAATGTTAATAGAGCTCGTTGGTAAATATAAACATATTTTGGAGAACAAGAAGACAGACGCTGTTAGCAACAAAGAGAAGGAGGCGTCTTGGGAGAAGGTATCAAATCTTTTTAATGCATCCTCCGGTACAACATCACGAACAGCATCGACCTTAAAATTAAAATACGAGGGAATGAAAAAGTCGCTGAAGAAGAAAGTAGCTATTAATCGACAGGAGCTTTATAAAACTGGCGGCGGAGCTCATTCTCAAATTCCGTATTCGAGTGTGGAAAATCGCATTTTATCTATGTCTTCCAATATAGATGGTTTGGAAAATAGGCATGACTCCGATGGCATTGAAGGTAAGCAGCATTCATTTTGGGTACGGTTTAGTACAATGATTTTGGGTTGTTGTGTCCAAACGCGTGACCCGAATCTTAAAAATTTAACATACACGTGTAGTCAAAGGAGCACTAGTTTATTAATAAATTCGGTTTGAAATATATCATTTTTTTTGTAAATTTCGATGTGAGTTCTGCGCAAAAATACTGGGGATGGCGTAGCCGGAGTTATATGCAGATGAAATATGATATCTTTGGCAATAGAAGGGGGGGNAATAAATTCGGTTTGAAATATATCCTTTTTTTTTGTAAATTTCGATGTGAGTTCTGCGCAAAAATACTGGGGATGGCGTAGCCGGAGTTATATGCAGATGAAATATGGTATATCTTTGGCAATAGAAGGGGGGCTTCCGCCAAGGTGAAAGGTGTTCTGCGCAAAAATGCTGTGGGTGGCATAACCCAAGTTTACATTTTCTATGTCGTAATGTTAGTTAATATTACCCCTTTTTCAAGTAGGCCCCCGGGGGTTGGAGAGGGGTCAGAGAGGGGAAGGATCACTTTTCTTAAAGTTTTGACTGTGTTCTTTCTAATAGGTGGTGTTTTAGGTGCCACACCCCCTGCTTTCCGCTACACACCACAAAATCATTGTACAAATAACTAAACATTTCCCTTCATTTTAATTCACATACTAATTGTAGTATTTTCAGGTTCACAATCAGAGCATTTGATTACTTATGAAATTGATGACACGCTAATGCCCGCCGGTATGATCATCATATGCGCTGGTGAAAATATAAATAGGTAAAAGACATTTTAGAAAGTTTTAGCTATTTTTCTTGTTTAAAAAGTGTTTGTTAGGTATATTTTTATGAAATAATAGCTCACTATCTAACAAAACCGATGTAAGCCAAAATTTCAAACATGAAAATTCAACGAATTTGAACAAATGTTTATCAAAATTTTTAACCTTTTAATTTTGTAAAATTTTCCTAACTTTTGTACAAAGTTTTTGCTAGATAACGAGCTACACTTTCATAAAAATATACCTGGTAAACACTTTTTAAACGAAAGAGAAATAACCAAAGATTGCCAACATGTCTCTTCTCTATTTATATTTTGGCCACTGTATGTACAAACATACATATATAGCACTTCTGGGTGACACATTATCAAGCCTTTTACTTTCTAGTAGATGCTGCAATTGAATGCAAAGAAGTCGAGATAACTACGACAACCAATAACGCAGCAACAGGTCAAGGCGATTTCGAAGAAGGTTATATATCTACAAGATGTGTCTATCAAAGAACGTAACTGAGGGTGTAAAACATTTTCTTTTGATTTTTAGTTATAGAAGTGCAGAAATGGGACAATTGGTCTCCTCAGGCTTTGAAGCAACCTATTACACCAGTTTTGAAAAAAACTAGCACAAAACGGAAATCAGAAAAGTCTAAATTTGAACAACTTACAGATGCAAGATTGGAGTTAGTCAAAATACAAATAGAGATGGCTAACAAGGAGTTGAAGCAAAAGGAGAAGGAACACGAACTGCGGATAGCTTATCTTATGAACGAAGAACAGAGAAAAGTGGAATTGCACAATATTCAAACACAAAATTCGCAGTGTCTTCCATTCTTTAACAATCATAATTTGGACTAATCTAATTTATTTAAATATTGCTTTCTTTATTGTTCTCGAAATCATTTGATAAAATTTTATACATTTATTTTTTACCACATACACTCAAGGCCAAAAGAATAGCTGTGCGATATTTCGACCAGTTTTGACTATTTTTTCTTTTATTTAATGTTCATTAATTTTACTGTATATAAACGTCTAGTTCAATATATAACAAAAACGATGTAAATCCAAATTTCCAACTGTGTAAAAAATTTAGAATAATTCAACAAATTCTCATCAAAGTGTCGAAACTTTTTATTTAGAATTTTTAGAAAAATTTTACGTTTGCAGTTTTATAGCCCATTAAATTTTAGTGGGTCAAAGTGCAAATTTCAAGACGCTGGAAAATCGTGTTGATTTTTAATAATTTTTTGGCAGACGGTGTTGTGCATTTTCTTCCTTATAAAAAATGCCCGACAATTTCTTTTGTATGGAAGAAAATGTGTAGCACCGTCAGCAAAAAAATTATTCAAAATCAACACGATTTCCAGCGTCTTGAAATTTGCACTGTGACCCACTAAAATTTAATGGGCTATAAAACTGCATACGTAAAATTTTTCTAAAAATTCTGAATAAAAAGTTTAACATTCTTGGATGAAATTGCTACTTTGTTGAATTTTTGTACGAAGTTTGAAATTTGGATTCATGTGGTGCTGGTTAAGTAATGTGCTAGACTTTTATAAAAAAAAAGATAAGCATTAATTAAGGAAAAGAAAAATAACCAAAATTGGTCAAAATGTCACTTAACTTAATTAGCTGACCACAATTGTATGTACATCTTTAGTCATTGAAAAAACTGTTCACATACATAGGCTTTTTGTGTAGTTTTAAATAACCAAAAATGTGTGTCGGTTATCATCAGGCTTTCATATAATGAAGCTAGTTCATAAACCTGAACACGAATTCTAATAAAGAGTTTTCCTAAAAGGTACCAGTTAAAAAGTATTTTAGCGAATGAATTGATGATCTATTTTATTTGCGTTGCCCAGTATATGCATATGTCTATATATGTATGTACCTATGCACATGTATAAAAATTATAACTTTACTTTATTTATTTAAGAAATGCCGCACAATGCGCCTTTTGAACACTATGTGAATTAATCGTTGCGGTTTCGATAGAATCAACATTTTTATGCAAATTAAAATGGGTCTGAAAGCTAGTGTAATTACCTTTCAACGAAAAATTTTGCCATGGAGCACCCACTACTTTCTGACCTTAAAAAATAGCTTAAAAATAGTGCTGTTCGAAAAAAAGTGCAGAAACTACCGGATTTCTTCCAAAAATATTTTTTTAATTTTCTATTGTACTAATCTTTAGATTCTGTAATGAGAAACACGATCCCACTGTTTAACGACCCTGTATGAATCGGTTACGACTTATAAATTTTTGAGTTATATCTATAAAAATTATAATTAATAATTACATTTCGATTTTTATTAATCGCTGAGCAAATATAATCACATATCGAACTTAACTTGTTTGATAAAATATAAAACTAATTTTTCGAGTGTATTATTTCGCTATGAAGTAAGTTTTATTATAACAAATAAATAAAATATTGTTTTATTATTTAAAACTCAAAAAATAATCATTATTTTAGATCAAAAATTACAATTCATAAAATAATCATTACTTCATAGCGAAATAATACACTCGAAAAATTAGGTTTATATTTTATCAAACAAGTTTAGCTCGATATGTGATTATACTTTCTCAGCGATTAATAAAAATCGAAATGTAATTATTAATTATAATTTTTATAGATATAACTCAAAAATTTATAAGTCGTAACCGATTCATACAGGGTCGTTAAACAGTGGGATAGTGTTTCTCATCACAGAATCTAAAGATTAGTACAATAGAAAATTAAAAAAATATTTTTGGAAGAAATCCGGTAGTTTCTGCACTTTTTTTTCGAACAGCACTATTTTTAAGCTATTTTTAAGGTCAGAAAGTAGTGGGTGCTCCATGGCAAAATTTTTCGTTGAAAGGTAATTACACTAGCTTTCAGACCCATTTTAATTTGCATAAAAATGTTGATTCTATCGAAACCGCAACGATTAATTCACAGTGTTCAAAAGGCGCATTGTGTCTCGCTTGTACTTTCAATGAGGTATTCAAAGCATTTATACTTTTTACATTCAGATTAAGGACTCGAAGTATTCTAATATTACGTTTCTGGCTTCACTAGAGTCTCCAATAACTGGCTCCATATTTTCTGTTTCCTCTTCAAGCTGAGTACTTAACTCTGGGTCTTCTGGTGGTTTGTCTTCTTTCATATCTATGGCAATATTATGTAATACGGCTGCTGCAACGATAATATCTTGTACCAAAGGAATTCTGCACCTCATACCAATGCCTAGAACTGGAAATCGTCGCTTCCATACTCCAAAGCAACGTTCTATAACATTTCTCGTTCTAATATGGGCTTCGTTGAAAAGACGTTCTGCTGGAGTTCGTGTATTAATATACGGTGTAATCAAATAATTGTTTAAAAAATATCCGCTATCTGCAAGAATTAGTCCATTACCGAAAGTTCCATTGTCAAACGTATATTTTGCAGCCGAATTCAGGAATATCATTGTATCGTGAGTACATCCGGGCCACCTCGCGACTATATTTTGAAACTTTAATTTTGCTGAACACATAGCTTGAACGTTAATGGAAAAGTATCCTTTTCGATTTCTAAAATTTTCGGCTGTACTGCCACCTGCATATTGTATACAAAACAATATTTATTACAAGGTTGTTATTTATTCAGAAATACTAGTGTTATCCCAACTTACCTGGTGATATTATCCGTACATGTGTACAGTCCAATGCAGAAACCACTCGTGGAAATCTCGCTATATTATAAAACTCTTCCTGTATTTTTAAAATTTCTCCATTACTTGGTAAATTTATAAATTGGGACCTAAGCGATGCAATTGCTTTCGTTACTCTCGTTATAATTCGGCATACTGTTGATTTATGTAAACTCGAAAAGTCCCCGATAGTTATATAAAAACTTCCAGTTGCATAGAAACGTAAGCATATTAGAAGCTGCTGCATGACTGGAACCGCTTGGTTTCTGGAAATGGTTAAACATTTTACAGGAAACCGAATAGTTTAGTTGGTTTGAGGGTGGTAAAAAAATGAATAAGTCGTGGCACCTCCCACCTTTCCAACTTGAAAGGGCAAAGACTAAAGAATTTAGTGACCTGCTTCTTATTGCCCTTCGACTATAGAGCTCCTCAGGGATGTCTTCAAAATAAGAAAAAAATCGCTAATTCCGCTGATAAAATATCTCCGCCCCAAGGGTATATAACGATTGCTTGTGGAAATGAATATTCAAGGTGGCGTAGTTCGACCGAGGACGCCGCGGCTGGAAAAGTGGGAAGCGCCACGTCCCCTTCTTTTTTTACAAGCCTCAAACTAACCGATACTATCTACACTATTTGTAAATGAAAGGATCGAAAAATAATTCACCTATCCGTGGCATATGCCAATTGATTTTCAATTAATGAACACAAGTACTGACAGGAATATTTTGTAAGCCTGAATCTTCGAAAGAACTCGTTGCATTCCCAATCTTCAAAATGATTTGGTCTTGGTTTCACTACTCTTTCTTTCCTCGCATTTTCATATACTTCTTGATCCTCTTCAAGAAGAAAATCTTCAATTATATCATTTAACTCCATGATAAGCTTAAAGAACAGGTTACTTCCACAAAAGAAAGGCGCAAATGAATTATTTTAATAATTTCTCAACTATAGGAAGGCCAAATTTTTTTTGTTTATTGCTATCCCGCCTTTATCTGGCAAACGAATTGGCGGATAACTTTATTCCTCAGTTAGGTGAATTATTCTACGAATAACTTTTAACTGACTATTGAACAACGCCATTTCGACTTATCTATCGAGTTAGTATTTATTCGTGGCTTATCTGACTATTGAAAAACCGGCCCTAATTCAACTTTTTTAGTCTGACTTTATACATGGCAAACTTACCAAAAGTTACCAAACTATACAAGGAAGCAAATGCATGTACAGAGTTGACAACAACAACAACGCTGTCAAGTTTAAATAGCGGCAAATCAGCTGCACTTGATAGCAGTAGGTTGAATAAGGAAAAATGACTTAGCAACACGAGTTTACGGGGTGTGCATAGCTCAGTGGTTAACGCTTTTGACTTTGCACATCGATGACGCGGGTTCGATCCCTGCTGAAGTCTAGAAAAAGGAAATCTGATGAGGAGATTTGGTGATCTCCGAAATAGTTGCTATAACTTCCACCGTTTAGACTTTGTTGCTTTTTCCATTTTTCAAAATGAAATAATCGTGGTACAACGCTCAATAAAAATTTTAAAATTAAATGTTAATAAGCCACAATAACATTGACAAATATATAGTTTAGGAAGAGCCTACCTGAAACTATACAAGAAAGCAAATGCATGCATAGAATTGACAACAACAACTACGCTGTCAAGTTTAAATAGCGGCAAATCAGCTGCACTTGATAGCAGTAGGTTGGATAAGGAAAAGTAAATTAGCCACACGAGTTTACGGGGTGTGCGTAGCTCAGTGGTTAACGCTTCTGACTTTGCACATCGATAACGCGGGTTCGAGATTGAGGGGATGTGGTGATCTGACTCATTGAATTGTTTTTATGTGTTAGTATGCCGACCACCGATGCAAAGTATCCCAACCGACACAAAAACTAAGGCTCGATTTGGCGAAGAATTTGTGAAAGTAAATGTTTCTTAAATAGTTCGCTGGCTCCATAATTTTTCATAAAAGGGAAGTCTTTCAGAACGACTTAGTTTAGCAAAATGTGTATCTGCCAATAATATTAGTAAAGAGGCGGCAAATGGATTGTTAGTATGTCATAAATTATTCAGTACATTAATTTCATATAAAAATAAAAACTTCTCCCTTTTTTATATGGGAAGACCAAAATAGCAATGGGACAGAGAAAACATACGTTTGAAAAACTATCCAAAGTGAGAGACGTTTACAAACCTTTGAGAACGGTACTTTGCCTGCCACAAACAAAGCATCGCGTTGTAGAAAAAAATTCTGAAAAAATTCGGTTAGCGATTATCATTTTCATTAGTTTCATTCGCACAGCATCCGCAAGAATATTTGGTCGGCTGGGATAGAATGGCAAAACGACATGCTCAGTTGATTGTTTTTTATTCGTAATCTTGGCACACGCTTGACACATTTTTTGTATGAACTTTACAAAAAATACCCAAAGCCAAAAGTAGCGTGTGTTTAATACACTGTGCTTTTAGATTTTTATTTGCATGCGTTTGCTATAAACCAAACACAAGATGTATAGCCCTGAATGAGAGCTACAATTTGAGTTAATAAATGATGGTTATATATATGTACATGCGTTAAAATTGCTTAAGGCTTTTTTATAAAAATGACACAAATTACACGCTTTATTTCAGAATAATTAGATTCTACCTATATAAATATACAAGAAATTTTAATGCTGGTTTATACCCAAAAATAATGGATAATATTAATGAGGTCATCTATTTTTCAGAACTATATACCTATTTATGTGAAAGCGCATTTTTATGAAAAAAATAGAACCTACACATTGAAAGATTTTATACCAATAAAATGGTACCCAAGTATTAAACAAATGAATTATACCAGTCAAATTTTTTTACATGTTTACAATTTTTTGTGTGTAAATTTTTCCCTAAACTAGTGGTTATTAGTTACTAAAAAGTTCTTACATCCATTGCTTCACTATACGTATAAGCAAAAGAGGCCAAAAGCCCATGCACGAAAAATACCCACTATTAGTACATTTGTAAAATGTGGCAACCATGAGCGTGACGCACTAATTCCACAACAAAATGGGACTGCCTTCGTATGCCCAGCATCAGTGTTGCCAGTTGAGAATTTTCAGCTATCATTTTCGGCGTTAAACTATAAAAATTTGCGTTTAGCTATTAGATATTTTCTTAGCTTTTTTTAAGTCGAGTTAGCTATTTTAGCTAAATTTTTTTTATAAATTCCCCACTTTACATAGAGTTTTATCATTTTGATGAATATAAATCAGCACAAAAAAAATTGGTATAAATGGTAGCAATCAATATACTTACGAAACTATAGAAAAGCTTCGTTTGTAGATTTTCTCCCTTACGTCAGGTTTTTTTAAAAGAACCTTGTAATTTTAAAGATATGATTGCTTCAAAAATTATTAAAAAAAATTCAGTGGAATAATAAATGAAAGAGAAAATTCTGTGGATTAAAACAAATAAAATTCTTTGGTTTACGAGGACGAATGGGTATTGAAAATAATTGATTAAATTTATTTTATTTCATTTCTCACCCCTCTTTTATGCTATCGTTTTTGCTAAATTTAAATATGTTTAATTTCTATGACTATGAATTAATTTATGCTGAAGTAAATAAAAAAATACTCTATGTAAGTATAGTTAATATGGTTTTGGGATTATCTGGTCACACTGGTATTGACGATGCCGACGCTGCCAATTTATTAGCAGAATTATTACTCTGCTGTGCTGTTACTAATCGACGATTAAATTCGCTAATTTGGCATCGTGGTAATCGTCAGAAGTGTTACTTAATAACGAACTCGTACTGAAGATACAAGTCAAAAAAATACATCGATGTTTTTTTCGATTTGATGCATCGAAATATAGCATCGATGCATATCGATGTATCGTATAAAAACATCGATATTTTCCATGCATCGAATGAAAATATCAACAGTTTCTTTGAATTAAAAATATACAACAAGAAAATGAAACAATCGTAACTTCGATAAGTATTTAAGTAATAAATCACAGTGAAATGTATTAACTGATTTAAACAGTTACAAATCCCAGTTTTTTCTGTTCTTTTGGGAAGCCTTCGAAAAAAAAATTCGGAAGACACGGAAGTGGCGACAATTGTTAAATGTTTATAAGCATAATGAAATAATATGTGCCAGCTATCAATCACATTCTATTTCGGTACACTTATTTGGCAATTTACCCTTTTGAGTGAGAAATTATGAATATTTTTGATTTGAGTAAAAAATTAAAAAAAAAACACATGTCAATCAATTCTTGCCGAATGTGCGAAAGCACAAATAACGTTGCAGTACTAATGTTTTCAGTCCATCGGGATGAGGATCTAAGCCGAAAAGCGAAAACGACGAAACTCAAATTTTGCTTTGATATAAGCGCACATTAAACTGGCTAGCTTTATAATTATTTCACTATGCTGATAAGCTATTTAAAATCTGTCCAAATTTCCAAATGGTTTTAGAGTGTCAATATCATATCAATTAATATCACAATGTAGATGGTATTTTGACAATAAAAGTTTCTACTAATAAAGATACTAATAGACATTTTGGATAATATTAATAGAATGTATATTCTAATAGTGCACAAAGAATAGTTACTAGAGCGAAGAGTTTAAAAGCATACAAAATAATTTTAGTATGTACAGTGTACATACTATCGAAAATATCGGCTTATTCGATACATCGAATAGCAAACATCGATGTTTCCGATGCATCGATCGACTGGTGTGAATTAGGGGACTGTATGTATGTATTGGTACAAGTGCGCATTTTTTTATTGAACATACCCAGTAGAAATTTTATGCATACAGCATCGCTGTTGGTGGCATGAGCTTGCTGCTGTGTATACCTGCCAGTATTAATCTTCATTTCCATTTAACACGTGTGGTTTCTCAGAGCGTATGCAAACTCTAACCATACACTTGTACTACTGCTTTATGCATATGGCTGTATTAATGTTTCAAACGTACAAAAATGCATTAATGGAACAGTATGAAAGCATTCTTACAAGATACATATGTACCCCATATGTAAATGCTACTTTTTTAATACATTTTAATATACGGTGACATCAAAAAGTAGCATTTAAATATGCAAATGCATATCTTGTAAAAGCCCGCTAGTGCTGAAAATATTATCGCACATAACGTCCGTTCACTAAAATTTTTGTACAAGTCTGAAAATTTTACAAAAATTCCACTTCAAATGTATCAAGAAGTGTACTTAAAACAACAACAACGTACGTTCGCTTGCAATTCGCTGGAATTTTAATATATTTGTGGAAATTCATGACTACGCATGAATTGTTCACACTACATGCATACTTCATGAATGCATACAACCGATTTCTACTGGGTATTGTCGAGGGCAAAAAGGTGATTGTACATACATTAACATAATCATGCAGGCCACTGGTGTGAATTAGGGAACTGTATGTATGTATTCGTACAAGTGTGCATTTTTTTATTGAACATATTGCCAAGGGAAAAAGGTGATTATTTATGTACTGTATATATATTTTTTTTAAAGTTCTTACTATCTTTAATTTTATTACCCTGGCAGATATGTATATTTTCACGTTCAAAGATATTTGAACAACAGTGTTAGTTGATTTACGTAAGAAAAATGTGCCTATTTTGAAAAATAAACCACATAAGCTACCATGGTATAATCGAGAATTAAGAAAGTTAAGGAACTTTAGGAATAAATTCTTCAAGAAGTTTAAAGTTACTGGAAGTCAGATTTTCTTTGATAAATATCAGAGATATGCTAAAGATTTTTATTGCTTAGACAAATTCCTTTATAAAAATAATATTTTGGGGGTGGAGTCGAACATTAAATCTGATCTAAAAGCTTCTTGGCATTTCATAAAGTCTAAAAAATGTGGCTCTTGCATTCCTTCGACTGTATTTTTGGGCGATAAATGCGCCTTACTGAGGTGGCTGATTTTTTTAGTGCCAACTATGTCTGTGATGATGGTAATTCCTGGCCTGATATAAAACACGATACAGCTACTGATTTCAGTTTTGGGGCTCTAACCTTGTCACTTGAT